ACAAAGCCTCGTATTTACTGATAAAGTTGTCTTTCCAATAAACTTCGGTACTTTTCCTTCGAGAAACTTTTTTATTCATTGCACTCACGTAGCATGGAAACTAGCTTTTTCATATACGATGGACGTGGAAACATTTAAGTTTGAGATTGGACATTGGAGCGACAAGCCTGATTAGGAAAAATAATCTTACTATACAACATTATAATTCTATTAATGTGAATTTAGATTATTGTAGTCATTGTGATTATTGCTGAAATAGTGAACAACGTACGTACCTTGTACAAAATGTATTGAACAATGTGTAATTTAAGGACAAGTTTTTAAATACATTTATTTACCTGCCATATTTATCGTTAACTTGCAAAAATATTTCTCATTTATGTTTTAATGCATTAGCTAATTTTGTAGCTAATGTATGCATATTTATTATTATTATTATTATTATTATTATTATTATTATTTTTTTTTTTACCTTTTTTTATACATTTTTGACTAAAAAGAAACTTTAACATCAATAAATACAATGCACTGATTTTATCTCTGTACATTATGTCTTTAAAGCTAATTATATCGTTAAATAAATGCCGTTAAATAAATTAATAGCTATTAAGAAGTTTATCGACGACGGAATTGTAACTTACGGAATTTATTTATTGTAACATGGTCAAGCAATAGATAAAGTTTATAATATATTAGATATATTTTAATATATTTTAGAAAATTTATGTACGTTATATAACGCTGTGTAAAACATTTAAAAACGTAAGTCGCGGCTGTTTTATGCGCCAAATCTACTAAATAGAAGATAATATGTTACATTTTCTATGAAAAATATCGTAATGGTAACGTAGCATAACGTGATTAATGATAAGTCAAATAATTTTGATCCGAATATCTTTAAGGCTATAATTAGTTATGCCAGTTTAAAGATTATATAATTTGTGGATGGCTATTGTTGTAAAATCGCTTATTGTCTCAAATATTCTCGGATTGATAAATATTATTGATATTCAAGAATGTATAATCGAGCATATTAGTTACGTTTATGATTATCAGTGTCGAATTATATATATATATATTTTATATGCGCCCTTTTAAAATAAAATGAGCACGTTTTTGCTGAATTCAACTTATTAATTATAATAGAAAAAAAATTGATCGTTGAAACGTTTGAGAAACAAAAAAAAATTTATATATATATGTGTGTGTGTGTGTGTGTGTGTGTGTGATCGCGCGTTTGCGTGTGTGAGTATATAAATGGCTGTATACGTAATTTAATAAAATAGCTCGAACATTTAATCAAATTTATTTTCGTTAAAGTTATTACTTTCTTTATAAAAATACCCGTGGTAACAGAATTTATGTAATACGATAAGATTATTAAATACCACGGTCATAATTATTGTACGTACGTTAAAAAGCATTTGCATATTTAAATGAATAAATTTCCGACTCCTCGCGTGAAGCAGTTGGGCATAAGTAGCCTTGTGCACTTGAAGCATCGTATGATTTCTTCGCTAACCAATTACGATCAAACACTGGCAATTGCAACGTTTCGTCACGCAATGATTTCGGACATTTCGACATTTCGACATCGAGCGGGGCTGAGCCGCAGTTGGATAAAAAATAACAAATAACAAATAACAAATAAAATCTATGGAAGAGAAAGAGAGAGAGAGAGAGAGAGAGAGAGAGAGAGAAGGGCAGAATCGTATAATCATTCTCGTACACCTAAGTAACGTATCGTGATATTTTCCATTTTTTACGCCCGCATTGAGACTCGTAAAAGAAAGAAAGACCCCACAGGCAGATTCGGAGCGCTTTTCACCACATGAATATTCACCAACGACGGGCGCGCGCACGATAATGCCACGAATCCGATCGATATTTGCACGAAGGAGACGTCACACGCTCGTGCATATAGTCACGCACGCATGTGCTTTATATTTGTAACACGAGTGCATATATTTTTCCGCGAAAGCGGCTTGTGAAAATCCACTTAAAACTTGCAAAATTACTCTTCGATGGTGCGCATAATGTCCACGCACACGCGCGCCCCATTGCAAATCTGCCACGTGATTTGCAATCCCCGTCGGAACCGTTATTGTACAATCAAACTGATATTATTGCCGTGAATAACTCTATCCTTCCACGATTAAGCGAAAGGATGCGTGCATTTAAAGAGAGAGAGAGAGAGAGAGTTGCTACTATTCCGCGTTTGTTTGATTTTTATTATTATTAATTTTTTTTTTTTAAGAAGCCTCTGTCTGATTACGTGTACAAGGAAAAGGATCAGTATTCAAGTGGTCCTTCCTTGAATTCGTGAAGAGGTAATGTTGTTGTACTTGGGTTTTAAGAGAATCAAACAGTCGGAGGTTTTAATGAGCTCGATTTTATGCTGATTTTAAGGAGCTGAAATAGTTTCTGGAAAATCGTCCGTGTAGCAAATTTTTCAAATTCTACCGGGCGAAATTCGTCAACGACACTGTGTTTATATCCACAGGAATATTATCGAAATTAACAGCATAATTATATTCTATAAAATCGAGAAAAAAAAAATAAAATAAAACAATAAAATAAACAAATAAATAAATAAATAAATAAAGAAATAAGAAAGAAACTTATAAATAGAGAAGTGGTTTTACTGCATAATTTGTTTATTTCTAATAGAACGTATTATCTTTAAAATTACTTTTACTAGCAATTTAATTATTTTTTTCTTCTTTTTATTGTAATTCCAACAAAATATTTATATAAATATTAAGTTGTTTATGGTTTATAATACTTTCGCGTAAAATTTAAAATTCATATACTTTGTATGACACACGTGTTATTCCAAGAGCATTAAAAGCAAAGTATTGAAAATGAAAATAAAATTAATTTAATTAAAGTAAAACGGAATAGCCGTAGTATCGAATGTAAACTTAATTAGGTTTAATATCGAATATTTATTGGTAGATTATCTATTGTTATTTACGAGCTTCAAATGCTGATTTGGCCAATTACATAAAGCATAACTTTACTTATAATTTTTCAGATATCTTGTTCGAGTAGCAAAAAATAGCTTGTATTATTATAATTATTTCGGATCTTGCGAAGCCTTTACTGTTCTTAATTACACGCAAAACCTTGCAGGCGAGAAAATTTCGTACTCTAACGGAACCAATAAAGAATAAATAAGACTTTATTATCTGATCGATAAAACATAGTCTCCCTTTGTGTGCGTGTGCGTGTGCGTGTGTGTGCGTGTGTGCGCGTGTGTGCGCGTGTGTGTGCGTGTGTGCGCATGTGCGCGTATATATATATATATATATATAATAAAAAATTTTGAATCCCTTAATTAATCGTTGTAAAAATTTAATTTTATAGTTTTTATCTACCTAGAATAAATTGGATTAAAGTATCTTACAGTAAATTAAAAGCAAAATATCGTATAACAATATAAAAGCGTATCGCGTATGGCACAAATACATTATCTAATGCATACAATATGTAGCGAGGCTATAAATACGCAAAAGACAAATACTTCATTCGAGCTTTTCCCATAAGACACAAGAGCCTGCTGATTAATTAGTAGAGAGCAATTTGACAGAGTAAGGAGTAAAATTTTTCTTTTTGGGTATTAGGAAACCCGTCGTGCTCAATAAAAATTCATTATTTTCTGATTTATATCCGCTTCTGTTTAAACTGACTCGGTTGCCTTGTGTCAATATCAACAATCGACAAGCCCATTTTTCAGTTACTGGTATTTCTACACGACACGCCTCATGCAGTTTATGATCAATTTGAAATTTATAATAATCGGACATATAAGAATGGTTAAATTTGCTGCGTCTTTGAAGAAAATAACTTAACACTTTTTTAAAAATAGACAATCGTATATTTAATAAATATTATTAGATCAATTCGAATTTGAGCGTCAGTGTTATGTAAATTAAGAAGTCGGCTTATATCTATATAGATATTTTTGCTTTTACGACTCTTCTGCTTTTAGAAATTATTATATATATATGAAACATTAGGGACAAACATCTGCATTATATCATGCAGATTTTATTCAGATTTGGTTAACGTTAAGCCAGGTTATTAATAAGAAACAGTGATTAGTGCTTATTCTATATGACAGCGTTTCTGTTTGAATCTTAATGACTATACACTTATCATTTTTTACTTCCTAATAAAAGATAAAATTGAATTACTTTTAAGATTTATGGCTCTTTATGTTTGCTTTCAAGTAACCATAACTCAATATTTTTGCATTAAAACGAAAAAATATCTATTAATTCTTTAAATGTCCGTTATCATATTCATGTTTCTATAATTAGTATTATAAATATTTAAATCGTATTTATCTAAATGACAAAAACATTCATTTATAATCTTATCTTTTCTCTGTGTCTGTTTTTTTTTTTTTTTTTTGTCGATATATGGTTAAAAAACAATTTTGAGTAAATAAATATCGATTGATTTTTACATAAAATAGGTCGTTAATCGTTTAACTAAAAGTTTCATATAAAAAAAAAATATAATTTGTAAACGCGTGATTGTTCCAATCCAGTCGATAATTATCATTTAATTATCTGGAATAATATCAAACCTATTTACAGATAAATAATAGGAAAAAAATTTCCATCATTTTATCGTTATTGGAGCAGCTTAAATTTTGAATTTCGCGCGCAGTTCAATTTCACATTCGTCTAACATCTGGCATCTGGCGAGTGCAATTGTAAAGTAAACTTACCGAGCGAAAGTAAATGCGGCTTCGCTTAATATTTGATTGGCTATTGTGATTCTTCATTCGTAGCCACTTCGTTCGCCCGTACAAACCGTTTCGTTTCTCATGTTTCAGAATTTTCATCATTGAAAAGTGAAATGCGTCCCGCGTTTGTCCATACAACGGATTCAATTTGATTTAAAATCCAACGGTTTATGTTTATCAACAGAGGAAATTGCGCTCGTTCGAACATTCTTCGCAAACTCGAAGGCTATTTATTTATTATAGTGAGAACGTGGGGAAAAGTGAAGAATGTCGTCGCGTAGAGATAGCATTGGCGTGATACGAGAATTTCCCTGCGTAAAAAAAACTCCTTTATCAGTACTAGAACATCGTAAAGTGCCTGATGTATTTTTAAATCAGACGAAGCATGTCGAGGAGTATTTGCCCAGCCTTATTAATGAAACCGTTAAAATGATTCTTGGTAAAAGAAAAAGAAGCCAAAAGAAGCCATCGATGACTATAAAAAAGCTTGAAAATCAGATGAGCCTGTATTTTAAGAATACCGTTCTTAATGTCGCTGTGGTTGAGAATTCATCCATAAGTAAGATGCTGGCTCTCATCTGTTTAGCAGTGAGTTTACATGACAATAAATAATAATAATATATTTTACAATAATATAGTCCACATAGGCTTTACATTAATTCACTATAAAGTAAAAAGTCTGCTATGTGCGTGTGTGTGTGTGTGTGTAGAAATTACATTCTCTGTACATGCATTCGCATATGCAATTCATCTTAATATTAGGCTATTTATGCACGAGTGTGAGAAATGTTTATTTTTAAAGTAGCACAATAGTTACAACTGTAAAAAAAAAGAAAGAGAAAAGAAGAAAGACAAAAAATTAACAATCGCTTATAGTATTTTCATAGTATTTTGACTATTATACTTTCATAGTAATTTCTCCACTATTCGTTCTTGTGTGTTCTGTGATCAACAAAATATATAATAAATATGCGAATAAATTTGTCCATTTGTTTTAATACAAAATTCTTATCAATAAAACCTTTAAATTTTAAAAATTCATAATTTAATCGTTTGCATATGTAATTGTATAGGTAATATTGAAAATTTTGTAAATTATTCGTTTAAGTAAAACGAAATTTGTTTGTAATATTCGTTTGCACCAATGTTTAAGTAAATTTTATTTATTTAATATACAAAATAAAATATAAAATATTGGGACATGAGTTTTTAAATAATTTTTTTTTCTGTTTTAATATTACTAATATCAAGCTTGTTTAACATATTATTTACAATTGATGTTTTATATCGAAAGAATAATAAAGAACTTGAAGCATGCTCTCATCTCATAGCATCTCACGCAGCTTGTTTACGACAACAAATATTGTATAGGAATTTGAAATCTAAACTACGAAATAATATTCTTCATCAACAAATGGTTAATAATTTGGATCCTAAGGATTTGGATATAGACCATCATAATAAAAATACTAATCCAAAAATGCTTGTATATACGCTTAGACAGTTGCCGACAGGTAGGATTTTGTTATTACTTTATCGATCTACAAAATTAGTTTATAATATTAAAGTGAAGCAAGCTTAATAATTAAATTTCTTATACTAATCGTTAAAGTTTATAAGAATTTTATTTAAAGATTATTTTAATTCATGTACATTTATAAGATATTTTAATTATTAAGAATTTAATTCGAAATCTTATATTGCTTATTGATATTATTTTGATGATATGCATGTAAACATTTACTCTTGAGAATTTAAATATTTGCGTATGTGTGTGTGTGTGTGTGTGTGTGTGTGTGTGTGTGTGTGTGTATGAAAAAAGAAAAAATAATGAAATCGATAAATTGTAAATATATTTTATTTTACAGAGTGGTATGTGATACAAATAACAGCTCAACACGAGCATTTAAAAGATGTAAGGCATAGAATGTCACCCGATGAGGCGATGTATTCATTAAAACCTATGCACGGTCTTCACATCGTTGCACTTCCTACTGGTACAAATGCCATGAATCCTATTTGCATTACATTACCAAAACCAAATGCGAATTCTACATATGATATTCGTATTGAAATTGAGACATTGTTAAATAATAACAGATCTGATTTAACAGCTGCTTATAATAATAATAGCCTTTATTGGAAAATGCGTAAAAAACAAAATGAACAAATGAGCGTAAGTATATGATTGAGTAGCGAGGGATTTAAAATTTGAATTATGTAATTTATCTAGGTTAATTATGTTGCTTTAGAGTGCTATTTCGGAACTAGAATTTTCTTGGTTAAGAGAATGGAGAGTTCTTTTGTTAGCCGATTATGTGGAACGACTAGATTTAGTAAAAGATATTTATGACATGATAGATAAGCTTATAACAGATTCATCTATGTAAGATCTAATGTTATTTAATACCAATATAAACATAAAATATATATAATGCCACGTCATTTGTAATTTATTTTTACAGTAAAATAATTACAGAAAGAACTCGTTGGCTTTTAAGAAAAATTGCTACTGGAGCTTGTTATCTTCAACCTTTTGAAGTTGAACGAGCAATTAAATATATTTTACCAACCGAGACAAAATTAGCAAAAAATATAATACTATCAATTACAGCTAAAGCTAAAACGATAACTCCATTAAAATATGCAAAAAGGAAAACACTTATTTTAATACTTGATGAAGTGAGTAATGCTACTTTTACATTATTTTTCTTCTATGTATAATTTTAATCATGCATAATGTGTCTGCTACATTAGTGTTTAGACCATATATCATTCGAATCTATAAAACTACTAAAGCATCAGCCAGTATCAAGATTTCCGTCACTACATATTTTATACGCATTATTTAATCAACACAAAAGTTCAATCAAGGATGGTTATAAAATTATTCGCAAATCTGATAATTTAGGTACATTTATTGTTAATCCATCTCTAGACTTGTCCAAAATGGAAGTCAGAATGAAATTATTTATTAAATATTGGCTACCCAAATGGAAAGGATTATACGGCGTTAAACCAGATTTAGAATTTTTTAAGAAAGCTCTTACTCAATATGATGTACTCATGTATGTTTAATCGAAAAAATAATTTAAGTAAAATAGTCGATAAATTAATTTATGCAAAAAACAAAAACAAAAAAAAAAAACAAAAAAATTTTCAGGTATAATGGTCATGGAAGTGGTATTCAATTTTTAAGAGGCGAAGAGATTGAAAGAATGAGAGTTCTCGCATCGGTACTATTATTTGGATGTGGTAGTATAAAACTTTTACCCGTAGGTGGACGACTACCAGCATATGGAATATCAAATCAGTATCTTATGGGTTGTAGGTTTGTAATATAAATAGCATATACGAATCTTTACAATTCAATTATGTAATTGACGTATACAGTACTTATGCAAGCTTTGAATTCAATTCATTTAAATCTTTGTTTTACAGCCCTTGTATTTTAGGAATGCTGTGGGAAGTGACGGATGGAGATATCGATAAGATGACAGCTGAATTTATAAGTAATTGGATATCGTCTACAGCCAAGCGATCGTGGTCGGATATTAATCAAACTTTATGGCATCAAGGAATAATTGGTAAACTTATTTTCTAATTTCTCATCTGACAGAATTACTTAATAATATTTATTATATAATGTGACTGTCTTTTTATAAAAAAAAAAAAATTTAATATTCCCTTCAGAATTCACAAAGGATGTTAATGATAAAAATGATAATGAACAGGATATATTAATAGCTGTAGCAAAATCAAAGGATGTATGTAAACAATATATGACATCTGCTGCTATAATTGTACGGGGATTGCCAGTGAAATTAATCGACTGAATTGTA